TCCTCCTCATCATCATCATCATCATCATCATCGTCACCGTCATCATTAACATCCTTCTTTTCTTCGATTACTTCGTGAAGCCCTCCTCATATTTCACGGTGCAATTCTGATAATTCATTTTATCCAACGTAAAAGTCTACTATGTTACTTTAGTTTACAATATTCCTCAACGTTTCTATTCGCACCGAGCATTTACAATCAGAAACCCATGAACAGTCCCTTGAGGCGGGACACGCAGTGCGCCTCAGTTACCTTTACATAAGAGGCAGATAAGGTAATGCAGCTTTGGGGCAGTAGGGTTACAGGAAACAGTTCAAAAGAAGGAGACGCGAACGCTGGAACAAGAATTGTCTTCGTCTGACATTAGAAATTTACACTCGGACCTATGATGAGGGTGCTGAAGTCAAATGCCTATAGTAATTACCGGGTGTCGTGTTAACCGTATTGCGTGTAATGTCTAATTGCCTGCCCGCATACGAGTTGTTAATTACCGTAATTTCGTCACTGCTGTCGATGCCTGATATGACAATTACTCAGTCGAACTGATATTGTCACTGGTGCTGGGTCATCGCAATTATCGGCGACCGTATCGATGCTGTCTTTTAGTGAAAATCCGAAACGTGGGACGCGCAAACTTCTTGTTACAGCTCTTCTTCTTTCGAGGTTAAATCTGAAGAGTTGATTATGGGTCGCGTTTTACGCACGATCGCAGAATCCTTGAGATAAAGAAGGTCTTACTTACAGCTGATATTTTAGCTATCCAAGTTCCTACCTTAACGACCGGCATGCACTCGTGCTGTTAGGTATTGGTTTGTCAAGCACCACCGGTCATTGATTGTGAGAAAGTCCTTTCCCACATAGATGCTAGTACAGGTTAACCCTGAGCTTTGCTTATTTAAAACCTTAAGGCCATGGCAACCCTTGCCCAGCCGGCCTTAACTTTGTTGGTTGAGAAAGACTGCTTTCTTGGAAGAATTACATGTACTTTACAACTGGAATCGCAATAAAATCGCCTACCGAACTTCATCACTCCATTATTATTGTAGGCGCCTGAGTACTGCGACTTCGTCTACTGGGTTGAAGGGAAACCAATACTTTATTAGATCACCACCAGTGTATCCCAGAACATCTGGTAGTTGACAGATGAGTGAAATTTTGGTTAGACATTTCGCTGGAGGCTGTATCATCCCTCCACGTCTACATCTGTTGCAAAAGTTCAAACCATCGCTGGGCTCGAAAACAGATCTTTCAGTTGCAATCTCAGTCCCAATTTAGACGGCAACATTAGCATCGTGTTCTTCAGTTTGATCCCCAAAAGAGTTTTTCCGCAACCTAGAATGATGGAAATTCGATTTAGGAACCCTTCTCTGGACCTTCCTTCCACAGGGAGCCTTTTTAATTCATTGCAACAGACATTAAGCGCTAATACGCTTTTCCCTCTGGTATATCTGAGAACACCATGCTTAATCTCCCTTAAGGCCCTTGGTACCAGCATTCCCCTTTTATATTTAGCTTTGCGCTATGAGTCAGGGGAGGACACGTGTATCTGTTTCTGACCACTAAAATGTACAGATCGCCTTAGTTAGGACGGAGTTAGGACTCCGATGTCATGTGCGCGAACTAAGGCCACAACGGCCGGCGGTTCCATTTACCCGATAAGTACACATTCTTCGGCTATCTCAGGACGCAGCTCGCGCTGGGGACTGTAGGGCCTTTGAATGGACTTTTTAATAGGATGCTATCAAGTTAAGATAATTATCAACATTCATTGCCAC